TATGCAGCCCCAACATAATATCCCTAATCATTTCTTCTTGTCCTTAAAATGGATGGCATTTATTTCATTTATTCATCAGCTGTGATTGCTACAATATTATGATTTGTTTTGTTTTTTGTTTTTTTCTGTGTGTCACCCGGTGATGCACAGGGGTTACTCCTGGCTCTGCACTCAGGAATTAACCCTGGTGGTGCTCAGGGAATCATATGGGATGCTGGGAATCGAATCTGGGTCGGCGGCGTTCAAGGCAAATGCCCTAACCGCTGTGCTATCGCTCCAGCCCCAATATTATGGTTTTTATTTTGAACAAACAAGTTGGATCAGTAAATTAAAACAAAATGTTATATTTCACTCTCATTCATCCTTCCTTAAATAGTTTCTTCTTTATTAGAGCTCTGAGATTCCACATATATCATTTACTTCTTTCTGAACAACTTCATTTTAACAGTTCTTGCAGGACTGTCAACTGACTGATAAAACATTTGCTAATTTTTGTGTGAGGAAGTTTTTCTCCTTTACATTTGAAATAATTCTACTGTAACAGAATGTTAGGCTGTAATTTTGGTCTTTTGACATTGAGGGTATTTCATTCTGCTTTTTTCTTGCTTGTATGAGTTCTGTGGAACTTATATTTATTTGTGACTTATGCAATTCAGTTCAGACTTAATTAGCTTCAAGCCTTCTTTAAGTTGAAAGCTTTTGCTAGGCTCCAGAGCTGGAATGGCGCCCCATATAGATTCTGCTCCTGCTTTGTCTAGAGACACCTCTGCTTTCTTCCTTTGAGTTTTCTAGAATGTGCTCTTCTTCCCACACTGTTTTTGCCTTCCTTTTTTGTCTCTGGGAAGAAATTCCTTACTAAATAACAATCTAAAACTTGCAGAGCTTTTGTTACAAGTCACAGTTGTTACCCTAGGAACTTTGTTGATGAGGTGGAAAGGCTGTTTACAAAAATCCTGTAAGTTCCCTAAGTGACCTGAGCTAAAGGGAGTTGTTTCTGCTCTTTTGAAGATTAGGAGGACCTATACTTGCTATGTCCCTTCTCTCACATTGAAGGACACAGTGGGATTTTATTGAGGATTTGCTGTCCTCAGGTTTGTTTGGCTTGGCAAGACCCCAGTTGGCCAGACTTTGGTGATAGATATTCCTTGTGGCTAGAATTATGGCATTGTGGAGATTACCCTTGACCCCAGTCAAGACCCCAAGAGAGAACGACAGTGGAGGAGAGAAATCAAGAGGGTGAGGGTGCGGGGAGAAGAGAACAGGAAGTAATTCGGATGAGCAGGCATCAGGGCTTCAGTTATACTGGTGATATGGGAGAGTGGTATAGCCATATACCCAAAACACACACTCAACAACATTGAAAACATGAGACCTAAGCTGCAACTACTGAAACTCTGTAATGCTTCTATCAAGTTGGCTGGAGGGAATGGGTTGGGGGTGGGGTGGGGATGGAACCCAGGAACAGTTACAGGGATGTTGACATTGATGGTAGGATTGGTGTTGAATTATTGTATGCCTAAAACTCAACTATCAATGACTTTGTAAATCAGTTCTTTAATGAAATAAAAAAATTAAAAACAAACAAACATTATAGAGAGCTCTCCTAAGGTCTGAGTATAGTCCTTTGCATCCTGCTCACTGTAGGAAGAGATTTCCTTTCGCAGTGATAGCACAGTGGGTAGGGTGTTTGCCTTGCATGCAGCCGACCCAGCTGACCTGGCCGACCTGGATTCGATTCCTCCGCCCCTCCCTGAGAGCCCGGCAAGCTACCGAGAGTATCCCACCCACTCTGCAAAGCCTGACAAGCTACCCGTGACGTATTCAATATGCCAAACACAGTGACAACAAATCTCACTCCGGAGATGTTACTGGGCCTGCTTGAACAAATTGATGAACAGTGGGAGGACAGTACTACAGTGCTACTCCTGGAGATAAAGCAAAACATACCTCTGCACAGCACTCCAGGGAATTTGATTGATTGATTGATTGATTGATTGGTTTTCAGGTCACACCCTACTATGTGTGGGTGACCTATGTGTGATCTGGCTCTGGTGCCAGAAACTGAACTGGGATTAGCCACATGCAGAGGCAAGTGCCTTAAACCTTGTATTTTCTAACCCCTAGAATTTTATTTTATTGGTGGAGGAAATGTGGAGCTGGGAATAAAATTCAAATCTACCAAATGAGCTATTTTCTTGACCCTTCCTTAGACTTGTAAACTCTCTCTAGCCCACCAAGTCTTCTGCAGTTTGTCAGTTTTGATTGGAGCTTTTCTACAGCTCCTAGCTCTGTAGGATCTGCTGATGGGCCTGTGTTCTGGGTGAACTGCTATTCTGTTTCTTGCCAATTTCTTTTGGTTCTCTGGCTCCAATCTGCCTTTGACCATAATTCTTTAATGACTCCAAGCAAAGCTATTTATTTTCTTTCTCTTTCTTTTCTTCCTTTTTTTCTTTTTCTTTTTGCCTTTGGGCCATACCTGGTCACGACTTGCTCCTGGCTCTGTGCTCAGGGATCACTTCTCGTGGAGTTTGAGGACCATATATGGTGCTGGGGATGGAACTTTGTCTCGTGCAAGGCAAGCACTCTACCTGCTATACTAAAGCATTGGCGTGAGCTTCGGTCAGCTTTTTTTCTTGTTAAAAGGGTGGAATTAATGATCTCCAAATTCTTTATGTATCAGACTGGACCATGGATGCCCCCTTCTCCCCACCAAGCAATGGGTTTAGATTACTAAATTTAGAGTTTGTTGGATTTAGAGTTTGTTCCAGTATTGTTAATGTATAGCTAAATAAATATATAGTGTCTATGCTTTTTCATACTAATGGTTCTATTTTGGTTTGTTTTGGGGCTCATGCCAGCAGTGTTTCAGGGCTTACTCCTGTCTCTGTGCTCAGGGATCATTCCTGGTGGTGCTCAGGGGACCATGAACAGAACTGGAGGTTGAACAAGGCCAGCCACATTCAAGGCATATGTCTTAATCCCTGCGCTATATCTCTGTCCTTGGTTTTTAATGGTAAACATAGATTAATTATGGATAGATATTTTGAGGTTTGATTTAATGTAAAATACTGAAAAAAAAAGGAGAATAATTTTGTACTCTTCTATTTAAAGACAGGACAAATATTTATAGTGCAGTACATATGATACATATTTTATTTGGGAAGCTGATGCAAATGTTTATATGTTTCATAAATAATTTCTAAAGTCCAAAAATAGTACCCAACTTGGTAATTAAAATTTTATGCACATTATGCAAATTTTATTTCAAGTAGAAATATATAATTGGCCCAGTTTGTAGGTTTGTATCAATAGGTGATTATAAGAACTTTGCTTTGTTTTGGCGTCACATCCAGTGCTCATGGTTCACTCTTGGCTCTGTGTTCAGCATTCTTCCTAGTGATATTCAGGAGACAATACAAGGTACTAGATGAGGTTAGCAGCATGCAAGGCAAATGCCTTAATTTCACGTACTATTTCTCTTACCCTTGATGCAAACTTTTGTTAATAATTAAAACAAATGATTTCTTTTGGACTATTCACTAGGATGCCTTTAATAAGTCTTTCTCATTTGTATTATTGATCACAGTATTTGTGACCTTTGATATAAATTTATTTGACTAATCTTGAATTGTTCTTCATTGATGAGCTGGTGTGGTAATCCCTTTATCATAATCTATCAGTGACTTATTTTATTCTAAAACATTGAGGTTATTGTTTTCTCAGAGAAATACAGTGATGCAGCTTCTACTCCAAGTCACTGCTCACTTGTATTTATATAATTCTCATCACTAGTTTTTTTATTATTTATTATATAAGTATATTCAAATAAGAAATGATGATAGGTTTCATTTTCTATGAAATTTTATACATTTTTTAAGCTTATGCAAATAACATAATTTTGGGGATTGAATCTTATTCAGAGACCAAAAAAAGTAAAAGGGCATGTTTTTTCATTTGTTGCTTGTATCATTAAAATAGGAACACACTAGAAAAGAAAATAAGATAATTGAACATTTAATTTACAATGCTAATATAATTTCCTAATGGAAGTTATAGATTTTGGTGATCACATTGAGGTCTTAGTCTTTTCCTTAGTTTGTTGGCTTTTGGGCCACACCTGGCAGAGCTCAGGGCTCTGTGTTCAGGGATCACTTCTCGTGGGCTCAGAGGACCATATGGGGTGCCGGAGATCGAACCTGGGTTGACCGCATGCAAGGCAAGTGCCCTCCCCACACTACTGTTGCTCTGGCCCTCTTAGTCTTTCCTTGGAAAAGTACAAGCTGATCAGCATGTCCTTGAGTCATTGGTTTCCTAGGAGCACCAGTCATAGGCAAAACTTGGAAAATCAAATTTGAGAGGCATCACTAGCCTTTCACTCTTAAATAGTCAGTAAAAAATTAAGTTAACCATAGTTTAAATGCATTTTTTTGTTTCATAGCTATATGAATAATTTACTGAAGCTCATGAATATTTTAAATTTAATATACATAGTTATTTTAGTAGCTATTTTTAGGTGGAATGTATACTTAAGCCCCCAATTTCTTGATGTATCTTTACAGTAAATACATTCATTTTGAGAGCTTTTAATAATGCATTTAAAAGATCCTATTATTTATTTAAAATATTTTTGCTTTCAATTACATTAAAAAAGAAATTTAATAAAAAAGAAAAATCTATATATCTTTAGTAAACCAGATGTAAAAATTTTTAAATGGTATTTAAAAATAATTAATTTAGAAACTTCATTACCAATACTAATAAATATATACAGAAAACTAGAAGATTCATTAGATCAGCTGTAGTTTTAATATTAGTTATTTACTAAAAAATGATTCAACTTTTTTTGGTGTGTAAGGTTTATTGAAATGTATAATTTAAATATATAGCAAAGCACTAAGCCTTTCTATGTGAAAGCCTCATTTTCCATTTTTATATGACCCCATATCTATAGATAATGTTCTTAGTACAGTGCACTCAGTTGTGCAAACTTATCTTTTTAGGATCAAAGAAGAACACAAACCACAACCGACACAGTAAGTACATGTATTCTGAGTGCAGTAGGCTTGACTTCTGTCCCTTTGCCACATTCTGCTTTTTGCACCGTGGATGGTATTAGCTTCTCCTAATACTGGATAGACTGCGGCTAGTGTGTCTTTGCTTCCTGGCTCTCTGGCTTGTAAGAGAGCTGCCTGCAGCTTCTTACTTCATCCACACATTGACTGGATGTAGTTTTTTGCTGCTTGCTTGTGGACCAGTTAAGTGTTCAAATCTAAATTTCCTCTATTCTGGTTGCCTGGATGATAATCGGAGCTCACATTTCCATTGGCTGTAGCTTTTGTGCTGTGTATCTTGATTGTTTTGGGTAAGACCTACATTGTTATTCATTTGGTTATTCAGTCACATTATTTGCTTATTTAAACAGGTGGTTTCCCTTTAGTGGGATCACTGAACTGGTAAATAACGTTCTTCAGCCCCAGCAAAAACAGCAAAATGAAAAGGAACCACAGACGTAAGTAAGCTGATCTGTATAGACTGAACATCCTCTCTGCTAGTGTCACATAGTGAAGAGTGTACTCACATACTCCCCATGTGCTGCTATTACCCTGGAGCACTACTCAGAAACAAGAAGGTTGGAAGCTCACAACTTTCACCATTAGTTACCTGACAGAAATATATATATATAATATGTATATATACGTATGTATATATTTTAAAGGACAATGTATAGAGTTTTAAAAATAGATAATTCATTCCTCAGTTTTAATATAATATCACCTGCGTATCCAGAAAACTGTCTTTCTCCAATAAAGCAATCTATTCCATAGTGCATTTCTCTTAAAAATAATTCCGGGTGACATTAGCGCCCAAATTCCATCTTCATTTTAAAAAGTTTAAGAAGTTTTCTTCATTGTAATCTTTTGAATTTTTCAGTATACTCAAATGGTGTGTTAGAACTTAAAATGTTTGTCAAAATTATTCCCCACTCAATCTTCACTTTCACTAAACATTTCATTAGGTTGTGAATAATAATTTGGGAAATGCAGCAATTCTTACATTGACCCAAATGTTTTTTCACTTTATTTCATTTTATTGCAGATTAGAAAACATTAAAACATTGTTCACACTTGTATCTTTTTCTCTCTTTTCTTTTCTTCTTCTTTTTTTTAAAAAATGTTTTTGATCACACCTAATAGTGCTCAGGGCTTATTCATAGCTCTGTGCTTAGGATCACTCCTGGTGGTATTTAGGGGACCATAAGCATCGCTGGAGATTGAACTGGGGTTAGCATCATGCAAGATAAGCACTTTAACCCCTATATTATCTCTCTGGCCTTCACACTTGTATATTTTTATTCACACAATGTTATTTATGTTGGGAAGAACTTACTGATCAAGTGAGAAAGGCTGCCTGTGTTTAGAGTTTACCCAGTATATTTAACAGCAACTTGCACTTCTTACTCAGAAACGGTTATCCCTCTCAGCCTTTGTGCTTTTTTGTAAAACTAGGAGTTCTGTATGTGAAGAAATGTTTTATAGGACTGGGTAGATTGAGAAGTAGTGTGACTCATGAAGAGAACAGTACATGCTTCCTAGGAGCCCTGGTGAAAAAAGTTGCAAAAACATTGATGCATTGCCATGATTGAAAAGTAGAAGATGGATGTCTCCTTCATGTTGTTGGTGATGGGTGTAATCTCATTAATTTTGTTGCCTCGCATGCCTTGTAAGTTCTGTCAACATTTCACTTAAGATTCAGTAAAACTATGTTCGTTATATAGCTCCTAACAGTTGCTGTGCATTTCTACTGGGGTTGGGAGGTCCCACAGTACTGCAGGGTCAGGCAGCATTGGGCTCTCAAATAGTGTGTGTGACCCAGGGCCCCCAAACATTGTTCTGAGACCTTCTTAAACAAAGAAAAGAACAACCCCCCCAAAACCTTTGAAATAAAGTGATATTTGGTTGGCTTAAACAAAATTAAACAGTTGGATTTACTTTAAAAATAAATTTAAGTTGTTCTCCTTTTATCTTTTCAGATAGCAAGCTAGTAGGAGAAGAGCCTAGTACTTTTATGTGTTAAAAATTAGTTATTGGTTAATATACGTTATTTTCTTTAAGAACTTTTATATTTTTTTCTTCTTTGGAGGTGTATTTAGTTTGTTTTCATTGCTTGGTTTTTGGGCCACACCTATTGGTGTTCAGAGATTATTCCTGACTCTGTGCTCAGGGATCACTCTTGGTGGGGATTAGGGGAAGCATATGGGATGCCAGGGGTAGAAACAGGGTTAGACACAGTCAAGGGCTCTATCAACTATACTCTTGGGGTGTATTTTATTTTAAGTTTTTAAATTGAATCAGCATGAATTACAAAGTTGCAAAATAATTCATGATTGAATTTTAGGCATGCAATATTTGCACACCAGTCCCTTTACCATTTCCCACTTCCCTTCACCAGCATCCCCACTTTCCTTCCTGCCACCCCTCCAACCCCCCCCCCCCCCCCCCGCAACTGCCTCTATGGCAAGCACCTTTTTCTTTTTCCTTTTTAGACACTGTGGTTTGCAATACTGTTACTGAAAGGGTATCATGCATATCACTTTACCTCCTTTCAGCATCAAGTTTTTGTCCAGAATGACCACTTCTCTCTATCATTGTCTTAGTGGTCCCTTCCTGTCCTATTCCTCCTTTGCCAACTGTGGCAAGTTTCCTACTAAGGACCAATTCTTCCTGTCCTTCATTTCTGTTGTCTTTGGGCATTAGTTATTCCCCTATTGTTTTTCTTTATATCCCACAATATAAAGGGACCATTTTGTTTCTGTCCCTTTCCCTTTGAATTATTTCACTCAGCATGATACTCTCCAGATCCACACATGTATAAGCAAATTTCATTACTTCATCTTTTCTTCTGGTATTCCATTATGTGTGTGTATCAAAACTTCTTTACCCAGTCATCTGTTCTTGGGCGAGTGGGTTGTTTCCAGATTTTGACTATTGTGAATAGTGCTGCAACGAACACAGGAGTGCAGATGTCTTTACAGCATTGTGTTATTGGGCCCTTGGGGTATATTCCCAGGAGTGGACTTGCTGGGCCATATGGAAGCTCAATTCATAGCTTTTGGGGGAGTGTGCATATTGTCTTCCAAAAAGGCTCAACCAGTTGACATTCCCAGAGTTAATTAGGGTCCCTTCCCCCCCTCTCACCCCCCCCCCCCCCCCCCGCATCCACATCAACACTGGTTGTTGTTCTTTGTGATGAGTGCCAGTCTCACTGGTTTGAGGTGAGATCCCATTGTTGTTTTGATTTACATGTCCTGATGATCAGTGATATAAAGCATTTTTTTTATTCCTTTGGCCATTTGTATTTCTTCTTTGAAGATGTTCCTGTTTACCTTCTCTCCCATTTTTTGATGAGTTGGATTTTTTTTTTTAATTTTAAAGGCACTTTGTTATTTATTTATATTTTGGTTTCTGGGTCATATCTAGTGGTGCTCAGGGCTTACTCCTGGCTCTGTGCTCAGGGATCACTCCTGGAGAGCTCTGGGGACCATCTGGGGTGCCAGGGATTGAATCCGGGTTAACCTTATGCAAGACAAGTGTTTGACCTGCTGTACTGTCACTCTGGCTTCAGGTGTGAGCTAATAATTTCTTGCTCTCTGTGGGCTGTTTTTGTATTCTGTCACCATTTCCTTTGAGGTGCAGAAGCTCTGTAATGTAGTCTCATTTTTTTATTCTTGCTTCCACTTTCCAGCTTCCATTTTCAGCTTTGTTTTATCCTTAAAAATGTCTGTAGCTTCAGTGCCATGGAGTGTTCTGTCAACGTTTTCCTCTATGTTCCTTATGGATTCAGGTCTGATATTGGGTCTTTAATCTCTTTTGATGTTACTTTAGTGCATAGCATTAGAAAGAGGCCTGGGTTCGTTTTTTTGAATATGAATGACCAGTTTCCCCATCACCCCTTGTTTAAGAAACTTTCCTTGCTCCACTTCATATTTTCTGCTTCTTTAGTGAAGATTAAATGATCATGTATCTGAGAGTCTGTCTCTGGATTTTCAACTCTGTTCCATTGATCTGAGGATCAGTCTTTATTTCAATATCATACTGTTCTAATTATTACCACTTTGTAGTACAGCTTGAAATTGGAGACAGTAATGCCTCCATCTTCTTTTTCCCAAAGATTGGTTTAGCTATTCAGGGAGCTAGGTTGGTCATTATTCCATATGAATTTTAGGAGTGTTTTATCAATTTTTTTTAAAAAAATGGCATGAGTGTTCATACAGTGACTGTATTAAATCTGTATAATGTTTTGGGGAGTAGTGCCCAAAGTAGTGGTTTGTTGTTTTCTTTGTATAGGTCCCTCTTTCCTTAATCTGATTTCGGAAGCACAATTTTGAATGAAATTTTTTTTTAAATATCTTCTGCTTCACTATTTGCATATAGGAAAGGCATTCACTTTTACATGTTAATTTTTGTAATCTGACATTTTACTGTGCAAATCTATTGTTTCTGGAGCTTTTTTGATAGTCTTTAGGGTTTTCTAAATGTAGTATTATGTCAGAGTAAGAGTTTTTGCTTTTCTATCTGAATACCCTTAATATTTTTTTTCTTACTTAATTGTTATGGGATTTATTTTTACCCACTGAGTATAATGTTTACTGTGATTGTCTGATAAATGGCTTTGACTATGTTGACGAAGGTTCCTTCAATTCCCATTTTGTTGTGTATTTTTTATCTTTCTGTATTTTTATGAGTCCATATTCTTTTTCTTTTTTTAAATTAAGACACTGTGATTTACAAAGCTGTTCACAAAAGAATTGTTTCAGGTATACAATGTTGCAATACCAGTCCCATCACCAGTGTTCCCCCATTTCCCTGCTATCTCTCAGCCTACCTCTTGGTAGGCATACAACAAAATTATTTCGTATTTCTTGCTCCAATACAACGTAAAGAAATGGCAAATGAAATTATCAGATAATAAATCAATAAAAGTCAATTTGTAATGATTAACTGCTATGATTTTAACCTATGTAAATAAAATTCAAATCACTTAATATAATAAAGTATACTGTCTATTCTCATTTACATAATTAAGTTTTCAACCCTGGCATCTAAAACACATTGCATTACATTTTAGTTTGTACTTGAACCTTATTGCAGTAATCATCATATCTTTCTTATCATAAATGTGACTTATTTTTGCCTTGTTGGCAGGCATATACTTGGTCCAAAAACTTCATTTTACTTGGTCCAAAAACTTCAAAAATGGTGAATAGAATTTTTAGAAAATGAATCAATAAAAGTCAAATTGTGATTATTAATTGATGTATGTTTTTAACCTTCTTAACCTAGTAGAGGACAACCATGTACAACATTAGTGAGTACTATATTCAGCACCATATGATGGGAAGTTTCTCCTGTTCTTTAAAGAAGCCGTATTAATGCATCTTGCAAAACTGGCTTGAAGGCTATGAATTCTCTGAGCGTTTGCCTATCCATAAAGCTCTGTATAGTTTCTTTA